CAGCAGCCCACTAGATGGAGCAGGGGGTACAGCTGGCTCCAGAGCTGCACTGAGCTGAGCTGCAGGARTCAAGGCTAAAATAAAATGGAGTAGGAAATTAGAGCAGTGGTTGGCCTGCTTTAAACTTGGCTATTAATATACCTGAGTAAAGGTGGTGAGAGGAGCTTGAAATCCACTGGTGTATAATTAATTAATTGCTCATGTGCCTTTTTAAGTGARGGGAATATTGTGGTTTGCATGCTGGTGTTTGTTTTAATGATTCTGTTGCTCAAAATGTTGCAGTAATTAAGAAAATGGCTTTAAATGTCTCTTAGAATCTTATATTCCTGAGTTGTCARGGGCTTTAAAAACAAATCCAGTCTGCTACAGCTTCTGTGTTCACACTGACTTGTGGATTTTCTCAGACAGGGACTTGCTTCAATAGCCAAGTATATAAATACAGCATCCCACTGTTTGCAAAGCAGTCAATCAAAAGTTTTCTCAGTGAAACACTTCTTTGTGCAGAGACTGGGCAAGTAGCTGGATTTTTGACTTGATTTTGTGTAAAAGTTGCTTGGATATATTCTTGATTGAGTTTCAACCTATGTGAGCGTTGTCCTGGCATGTCCTAGCAGAATGTTTAAAGAGGTTTTTTTAAAGTTTTATGGCTGGTTTTTGATAATAAATTGCAGGGATTTTGTGTGTCTGAGACACAATGCAAACTTGAACAGTCCAGAAGTGTCAGGGATAAGACCATTGCTACTTCAYGTGTTGATATTTGCTATCAACAGAGCATTCTTGACAGCTAAATTATCTTCATAATTTCAAGTGCCCTACTTACTACACTGAGATCTAGACCTGTAGTTCACAGTGTAAGAGCTACTTGAAGATGCTGGTCTTGCCAAGGGGTTGAATTTTTCACTTGCTTTACAAATCAGTTTTCTGTGCTGGTTTGATTTGCAGGTCTTACCGCTTGCAGGTTAAGCACTTGTTTGATAGCTCAGTCCTCTTTTCAGCCTACAAGGGATGTGTGGGCTCTTTAGCAATTACTTAGGAGGTCATAAGGTCCTTCTGGATCTACRTCTTAACTTTGGTGTGGGACCTGCATAAAAGAATGGAGCTGGATGAAAGCTGCCCAAGAAGAGTCTTCAGACAGTCCCGGTGCCAGGAAAGGCTCCTAAATGAGCTGGATCTYTGTCCTGGTTTGTGTAGGAGGAACTTGTAATTCCTCTTGAAGGCATCACACTGGTTGGATTTGCCATTCTAGCAGGTCTGTTTCTCTTTCTCCCCCTCAGGCTTATCAGGAGTTTGAGGCAGAGGACAACATACAGATGAAGGGTGTTCCAAACTTGGTAAAAGCCATCAGACTTGGGAGGTAAGCTCTGACTTTTGAACAGGCAGGGTGGGCAGCTTGGCTGCCTRATTCCTCATAATACTGTCAGGAGACAGAAACTCCAGTTTGTCTAGTTTACTGTAATATTTCATCTCCCATTTTTAGGCCTAATTGGTTTTCTTTGAGAGATCTTTGATCAGGATTGGTACCTCAGGTCATTGAAGGTGTCAGAAGTTTGGCAGTGCTGGAGAAGTTTKCAAGTAGGCCTTGGGTTTGAGTTTGTGGTGATGTTCCAGGGGGTTGCTTTCTCATCAGAATATTTGCATTTTATACTTAGGTTTATTATGTTTGAAGACGTTTATATTTTTTCCATGTAAGCTTCTGACTGTGAGTAATGCAACTTTTTTTGTTGTGTGTAACAATTTGCACATGTTTTATGTTAAACAATGTAATCTTACAGTGTAAGATGTCCCTTGATGTAACAAGGGTATAATGACTTTGTAAAGACACATTGCAACAGAGACAATGGATACTTTTGCTTTTAGCACGTAGATGATCAAACCAATTTTATCATCCACTCGTTCAGAATTTGACATCTTAGTGGAAAAAAGTCTGAGACTGAAATATGAGAGGAACTTTTCGTATTGTTGCTGGAGTCAGACTGATAGGGGCTRTGTCTGGGCAGACCCAGCATGTGGCAGGCAGTGCCAGCACACAGCTCCATTMCTCTTGGGGTGTTATCAGGGCCAGACTTCCACTCCTTTGTATGTTGGTGTATTAARATGGAACTGGCGACAATTTGGTTTAAAATGTGCTTCTGGGTGCAAGTGAAAGGCATTTTCCCCCTCCTATTTAGTTTCCTGTTGCTRCTGATGGGAATGTTCCTTTCATARTGACTTAGGTTCTCCGAGGTTTTGRGGCAAGAATCTGGTGGTCTTCCTCAAAATTCTTCTGTGTTCTCAAGTCAGTGGTGATCTCTGATCCTCGGGGAATATCTAATCTCTTGCACTGTGTTTAATTGGAGAAAGAAAGTGTATTCTGTTGGTGGTTTGGTCAAGATCTTACCTTGATGGGAGGCATATTTTGGATAGAACAGATTTCCAGTGATGTGTCTCATCCTGCTGGCATTGGAAAAAACAGTTCTGAGGACTGTTAATGTGGTGTCTGTTGAGTGTGTGTAACTTAGTGTGCATMCTCTTCTGACTGAAATGTGCACTGTAATGTGTTGCATAGCTGGAAGTGGCATCCAGAAGAAGGTGCTGAATGTCAATAATATCATCTKCTGGGCCCTTAATCGTTTTAACCTTTGTGCTAATGAAAACAGTGGCCAGAGTAACAGAGATGTCCCCCTTGACTATGCAGCATCACTGTCTGTGTRCATTTGTCTTCACTGACTTGCTTTAAGGGACTATTATAACTGGGCTATTAAAATTTTAAAGCATTTCTTTCTCTACAGATGGAGAAAGTGGTGTGCTCTCTAAAGGAMTCTCAACCCCTGTGCAAGTGTGTTTTGTAGCTATAAAAGTGGGATTTGTGCATTTCCTGAAGGCTGGTTATGGGCAGCTGCACAGAAGGGTGTTGGTAGCACCTGATGTGCTGTTAATCTTCATTTAATGAACTGTTGAGTACTTTCCCTGGATCCACTGGCAGAATTCTGTGCATTGTGTAGGCACAGGGTCACTGAACACTGAACAGCATCACCCTGGTTTAGGTGGGAGCTCCCAAGGATGCTGAATTGAGCCTCCCAAGGATGCTGAATTGAGCCGTGATTTCACCACCCAGCACAAAGCAGGGGAGGCTCCTTGGATGCTGTTTGTAGGAGAGGGGGTTGTTCTCACCAAACACCAGGCCCATCAGCCGTGCAGTCTGCACCTTCTGCTTTCCTGTTTTCCCCAAGCAGGTTTAGCACAGTGGAAAGGTTTCCAAGGAGATCCTCTGGGAGCACAGCCTGGCCATGGTGTGCTCCCATGGGAGCTGCTGAGTGGTTCCTGCTCAGCTTTCTCTGATGGACAGCTGTTTAACATCTCCAAAATCACAACAGGCTGTCAGTCAGGCTAAGACAGTGAATCAAACGTGCTTTGTCACATCACATCTTTGTAAACTGTAAGATCTGACTGTTGTTTCTGTAGTGTCTTAGCAATGGCTTCCATAGAATGGCCCTTCAAACAAGGAGACTTAAAAAGAACTTGTGTCTCAGAATAATAAATGGAAATCTTCCTTTCAGTGGTGTTCTGCATCACAGAAATATGTATTTTTTAGATGGAGGTATTGTGCTGTAAAGTATATTTTACTTTATGTTGTGTTATAGATTCTTGTGCCTCACTTCTGCTATTTGATCCAAAGAGCTTTGGAAATTTAATAGCAGGACAGGAATGGAAGTGTTCGATCTTGAATTGGTATAAATAACATCTGATGTAATATTTTGGTCAGGTATTTATAGGTGGACTGCAAAAGGTTGTGTCAAGGAACTTGATGTTCTTATAAAAGCAAGATTAGATTAGGAGTTAAGAATGTTTATGCAGATTTGAGTCAGTAGACAATTATGTGTTTTGGTTCCAGTATTCGACTTGGGCAAAGACTTTTTTCATTGAAACATGCTTTTGATAAAACACTGTGCCAAAATRCAGATATATGGAGCAAAAGGAAATGATATATTGAGAATTAATTTTCACAAGACCCAGTTGGCAACATGAAAATATGCAAATGGCAGAAAAGATCTTGGCATTTGTCTTCAGTTAATGTGTGTCTGGCAATGACTCTGGAAACATGGAACTATAAACTTGRACTTTCCCAGGGGTATTTAAACATGGCAAGTAGAATAAGAGGAGCTCAATTACACAATTTGATACACATGCTTATGTCACATAAATATCGTGTTCGAAAATACCTGAATAGAAAGCTGGAATTCCCATCTAGGCAGCAAAAATGTTTTGGGTTCAAATGAAAGGATAAGTTGTGTGTAGAAAGTTCTGAATTCTTTAATTTTTCTGCAGATTAATTGCATTGGGGTATCACAGTTTGTTTCAGCTCATCTCCCTCTAGTACGAACTTACTGTCTAAAGTTCTAAATCTTCTAGATGTGTTTTAAATTTTGTGGAATACCTGCTGAAGTATTCAAATGTTTTCTTTCTCTAAATCTCCTGTCTTAATGCTCAGTGAAGTGTGAGTGAATGGCCAACAGAAATCTAAATTTCTGTGCCACATAAAGCTTGAACCTGTTTTAACAAAAACCTTGCCTGTGTTTGTTTTGGTTAAACACCTCTGGAGATTGTGTGGATGTGTTTTAGGGAACTGATGTAGGGCCTTAACTGGAGCCTATGGCTTCATCTGGGATTGGGTGACRTGGCCTCTGCCTCTTCCTGTGGTTTCCATGTGAAACAATCTGGATTGGGGTGAGCAATAAGCTGGCCTTGAACACAAAAATCSCCTCTCACTGGCCTGGCAATCAGCAGGGGAAAATAGGACTTGGGCTCTTTAGGGGAATGCAAATTGCAAGATTGTGCTGCTCTTGATGGACTTAGGAAGCTCAGTGATGAGAGCTTAAAAATACAAACACTGACATAGTTTTTATCCTGCTTTTTGCTATTTGCTACTAGGAATACTCTGATCTGCTTGCTTAGTCCCAGGCAMGTCAATCTCACTTAYKAGAATTCTGAATTTTGTTGTAATTWTTTTTTTTTTCTTCCAGTTAGCAGACTTGAGGAGCGGGAGGCAGAACTCAAGAAGGAATACAATGCACTTCATTCGAGACATACAGAGGTAGGTTGTTACACTAACATAACTTTGGGGCATCTGTAAAAATATCAATCCATGGAAAATGTGTGTTGTGAAAAATTGGGAAAATTATTGAAWGTTTTGGTTTGTACGCCTGAGTTGTAACCAGGCTTCGTTTGGTGATGTAGTTTTCCTCATTCACATCTAAGTGTCTATTTCTCCATGTTTGATTACACATTTGTCAATTTTATAGCTTTGTCAGATRTTCAGAAGTTTTAAAAGGGAATTGGCTTTTCCCTATTTCATAGGCAATTCTTCAAAGCACACTAATAAGCTTCAAAGAAATAGAGGTGAAATTGCATGTTCATACCCCTTCCATCAATTTTTTATATTGTCTTTATTTCTACCATTGAAGGAATAAATATTTTCAAAACCTGGTCCAATGAGATTTGTGATTAAAAGGGTTCCCTGCCATACTTTATTGWTAGCTATTGAAAATGGTATTTGCTGATGAAGATGGAACAAGTTTGAMGTTAATTTAAATAAACAAGAGTGACATTGTTTAAGTTGGTTCCAAAGCATAAAACCAGGACTTGCAGTGCTTTGATTTTCAGTAGCAGATTGTCTTTCCCATGCAGAGATGTTTTACTGCCCAAGTCACATACATATTTTAGTGAGGAAACCACTAGGCCCTTTGAATCATTCTGATTAATCTGGAGTCCCAGTATTGAGCACAATTCTTCTCCTTCATCTCCTTGCTTTGCCTTTGGAAGGTCAGGGAGCTGTTTTTAGACCACTGCTACCAAAGAGGGCAATGCCATATTGACTGTTCCCAGTCCAAAAGACCCACGTGGGGAAGGAGCATGCAGATACAGGTGTCAGATTTGGTCAACTTTAATACTTTTAGCAACCTGAAGTGTTTTATACTGACAGAAGCTGAAAACAGCTTGGAACYACAACCAATGTATAGTGCTTGAGTGTTGTGTGGTGACTTCTGCAGCTCTTAATTAAAAAAATCATATGTTTAGAAAAATCGTAGCATATTGAAGATCACATTTGTTACTAGATAGTTGCTTTAGAATRGTGCATCTGTTGAAAAATGGAAATWTAAGTGAAATGAGAAGTGACAAATGTTAATGYTGTCCACTGAAGTTTAGCATCCTTTTGAACTGGAAGTACTTCAGAGTACTGGGTGCTTGCAGAATTCTGGTTATGGTAGTCTAGAACCTCTGGGTTCTGTCACAATACCACTGGCAGATTTTTATTTGATCCTGTTACTCAGAGTTTGAGATTCATTGTATTGGGCACCATTAATTCAATGAAATGCTAATCACATGTTCTGAATATCTTTTTACATAGGTTTTGCTCCAAAATGAACAACAGCCTCTGCTGGTTTGATTCCAATTTATTGAATGCTTTTATATCTTAAAGTCACTTTCTTTGGTGTAGGGAGAGGTGTTTCCTTGGGCTTTACTCTTACTGAGGTGATTGTCCTTTCTTCATGAAGAAATAATTTGTAGTGCACCATGGTATATCCATATTTCCGTGCTCCTAAAATCAGGTCTCCTGTTTTCTGTAYTCCTCCCTTTCAATGTGATTGCTTCCTTTGTTTGTTTYCCAGAYSATTGTGAATCTTGTAAAGATGCACSTCTTYTAAGGACAGAGCATCTCAGCATTTTAATTCTGTATCTGATGCGTGTTGGAGACTCTAGAGGCTGAAATCCCTGGGAACTGGRAAGGATTGGCTGATAATAGTGCCCATCTCCCTGTTCCCTTTATGATTTCCTACTTTCCTTTCTCCCAGCAAATTCTAATGCTTTAAGTCTGTATAGTAATGTTTTCTTTTAATGCAAGATATTTTGGCAGATACCCAACTTCTTTTCAGCATTTAAGTTTATCAGGTGTATTGGATCAAATATTTCTATTTCTGAAACTTTTTTCTTCCATGTGTTACTAGGAAGGGATACTTCTTTCCTTTTGAGTCAGCTTCACTGTTGTCCTTACAAGGGATCCRTCTTTGGTACTTGCTGAAATGGTAGTTGTTTTTCTTTCAATTGACCAAATAATGAGCAGAGCATTAGAAATGTTTTSATTCTGTTTTAATTTAGCTCTAAGATGTTGGCAGTGCTTACTTTGTCATGTTAAGGATGCAATGTGACTGCATTTTGTGCAAGCTTAATTTCTAGCAATTTTTTACTATTCTGCTTCAGTATTTGTTTCCCTCCACCTCCCACTCCTCCTTATTCCTTATTTCACAGCTGAGTATTTCAGAGTTGGATGTCTTTCTCTTCCAACTCTTGACTGAGCCTCTGTGTTCCTGTCCCTGTCCCTGTCTGCCTTTGCTGGAGTTCACTGCCCAGCAGAGCTGCTGGCTCAGCGCCCCAGGGAATGCCACCCATTTTCAGTCCCAGTGGACCAAGACCTACTGAAACAGAGTCACCTTGGGGCGTTCCAGCAGGGATGTGAAGCAGAGAGCTGGGTCAGTCCCTCTCTGCAGTGTGTGTGTTGTGGTGGGAGCTCAGGCTGCCAGAGGCAGGGCTCTGCATTGCAGCTCCAGCAGAGAGGTGTGTGCAGCTGCAGAGAGCAGGGCTGCCCTGGCTGGGGAGAGCTCTGGGGACAGGCTTCACCCTCCATCACCCTGCTGTTCAATCAGCCTCTGCAGGGAGGTGGGCTGGCTGCTGGGAGTGCAGCATATCCCATTAAGCCTCCTGCCTACTGAGGCTTGGACTAACTGGCTTGGTTGTAAATGGATTAGGGCATGAGAACCTGAGCAATTGAGGTGGCAGATTGGAAGGTGGGGTGTAGAAGATAGTGAGGAGGATAAATATTCAGTCAGAAGAGAATGGATGGAACAGCCTGAACATGCTCTGACATCCATGCTCTGCTTCTTTGTCCTTCCTGTACATGCAGCAGATTTTGGTCTTGTGCTGATCATCCTCTRTTCTAACACTCAGATGAGAGTGTGACTAAGCAGTGTGCTGGAGTTCCTGACYTGGAACTTCTGGAACTTAACTGTGCAAAGTCTCGTCTCCATCTTTCTCTGACTGTGAAGGACCAGATACAGGGACCCATCGTACAGCCAAGGGTAGTGTGCCAGAAAACAGAATGGTTGACAGTGGTCTGACACAAAAATCTTCAGAGCTTTGCTCTATAGTCTTAGAAAGGAATTCTGTCACTCAGTTGGCCCTTGTRTCTCAAATGCTGTTCTGTTTAATAGGATCTGTCTTGTATGGCCTGGATAAAAGCAGGGTAATGCACCTGTGGGGGCTTTTTTGCCTTTGCTGCTGAAATGATGTACTGCTGCTGGTGCCTCTTTCAGAGCAAACCAGTCAGAGTGGTTTTACCTCCTGAGTAGGAGGTAAAGGCCTGTCTTCTGCAGAGCTAAASGTCATAACTTCATAACTATGGCTTTGGCTTTTTAAAGGCTTGGCTAAGGCTGTTTTATGTTTATTACTCAGTTGGGCAACTGAGGCAAAGCAATACTTGAGCATCTGCTGGAGAACTGACTGATGCCTGTGGCCCCTGTCTGCACAGGATTCCAAAAGAAACCTCTTTTTCTCTATTTAAGGAAGTTATTCTTTTTGTCCTTTGGGAAACTCCAGGCTGAGGTGGTTCAATATCTCTTTCCCTGACACACAGAATATGGGCTTAGTTTAATGAAGCATAATTGGGCCATGGAAGTTTCTCAGTGTTCTGCACTGATACAACGTGACAGAACACTGAGCCTGGCTCTGGCACTGGGGATGGACTTTGTCAGGTTCATTTGGATAAACAGATCCCCAGCAAGTCCCTGGGCAGGGGACAGGAAGAAAAGGCTTCTGGAAGTGTCTATTTACAATTATAGCTAARCAGGGGCACCTGTCACAGTGTCTGTGAGATTAGACTTTGGAGATCTGTTCAAGCAAATAGTTTTTCTAAAGCCTTATGCTAAGCATTAACAGCTTGATCTATAAAACCTGGATTTAACATCTTTACATATTACTGTGTCTGCCAGCAGCACCATCTTGTGTGTGGATAAAGATGCATCAAGCTCTCCAGTGGGAATGGTGCTTTTACTTGGGTGAGAAACTCACCATAAACCCTGAAAGGAAAATAGGAACTTATATGGAGCTATGTTCAGGACTTTGGTAGTGAATCAAGGAGATTCTAGAAATATCTGTTACCTCAATAAATCTAGATTATGTGGGACAGAGAAAGATCTATATATACACAGTTGGTGCACATTCCCAAAGGGAGGAGCTGCTTGTGCCCAGCCTGATTGGATCTGCAGGATGAGCAGTGAGGGCTGTAGCACTGAGCCTGGTCTGACAGCCAAAGAATTGCTAAAACCTGTCCGGGGGGAGCAAGAGCAGTGACTCAAAAAGGAAGGAGGAGCGAAAGAGCAAGGAAGGTATAAAGGAGATGCTCTCAACCTGGTTAARGCAAAGGTGCAGGTAACAATATCCCCAACATGGCATATTCACATTTGTTCGTGACAAGGAAAGYGCCAGGCTTGTGTGCACTGGGAGTGGTTGTATTTGTAAAAGTAGGAATTGAAATGAGTGTCAGGGTGTTCATTGTCTCTTACTGAGTGCTGCAGTTTAAGGTGTAGCAAAACCTAATAACACTTCTGTAGTTGTTAAACTTGTCATGTGCCATGTGAGGAAACCAGTCTGAGTGGTTTTTTGAGGTGGAAGGACATTGCMTTCAAAGGGAATGGATTTCATGTTCTGCTGTAATGTGTTCAAAAGCTCATTGTAGTCACTTTGTACATGTGCCCTAAAATGATTAACACCTGAACTGTGAAATGCTGTTAACTCAGGTAATTCTTCCAAGTTCTGAGTTTATCTTTAATCCCCTCAGCTAATGGTAATTGAGCAATGTGTTTAATTACAACAATGCTGAGGTGCTCTCTGTTTGTGATGTGTGTTCCTTGGAACAACTGGTTGTGTTCAAAATACTCCTGGATTTTATGGGCAGCAGAGCAAGCTGTCAGTAGTGTAAGGTTATGGATGATTAAATATTGACTGCAGCTTTTATTGAAGAGAATGGGGGTAGACATAGTCAATTATTTATCATCTGTCCTCTAGCATAACTTTGGTAAAAATTGTGCTGAGTGGAGAGCAATTCAATCCATTTAAGTCTATTTTTAAATTATCAGTAGTATTAAAACCTTTTTCTTTCATAGCTGAATAATCTCAAAACAGCAGAACTTCTAATCAGATTGGAGCACTCAGAATTCTGGTGCATGAATTCATTACACAGTTTTGGATMAGGGTGGCACTTCATGGATATGCCAAAGCTCGAGGGTCATTTAGATTGAAAAGACCTTTGGATGTCATCTGGTTCAAATCCCAGTGTTTTTGGAGCAAGTCTTCAAAGTTTTATTGCAGATGAGCAGTTAGAGTGAGCTTACTTCCCGAGAAGCTGCAGTATTTAATTTATCACTTTAACCTTCAAATGAATTTTGTGGAGGTTGGGAATTCTTATGACTCTACAGCACCAGCTGTGGAGCTCCCCAGCCTATGAGGGGGGAGGGAAGGGGAGGAACTCTTTTCTTTGTAGAAACTATTCCAGCTATTGTCAACTTTTATCTTTGGGACCCTGGGTTGAGGCAGAGAGTGGACTTTACATGGTGKTACCACTGTTCTGATTTCTTGGACACCACAGGCTCTGTTTCTCCTGGAGCTGTGGAGAAATTCCTATGCAGCACTGCAYATTTTGCTTTTTTAATTTTTGGATTCCTGTAGCTTACATGCACTGTGCTGAAGGATGTGATCTGCAGATTGGCTTATTTTGTTATCAGCATCATTTTCAGCTGCAGAACAACATGAACTGCACAGTCCTTTAAATTGACTTGCCCTGCAGCCTCTGTCTGTGATGGTAATAAATGTGATGAGGCACTTCAGTAAACAAAAGAACAGACTGAGAGGAGGGAAGAGAGTAGGTTAAAACCATGTCTTTTGCAAAAYGTGAAAGTTGTGTGGGTTTTACTGACCCTATTCTTTTTCCCATGTGTTAGTAGTTCCCTGGAGAGGTAGTAGTCACTCAGCTTCTGTTCACTGGCTGAAAACASAACAGTTGTTCTGTTTAAAATTTTACTATGAGTAACCAGTTGGTGTGCTGCAAATGGGAGTGTTTGCAGGTAGGGCAGCAATATCTTCCTCCTGTGATGAAGGAATACATGAACAGGATACAGAATGGTCTATTGTGCATTTCAAAGTTACGCACTCTTGGGGGTTTTTCCCCYCCTGGAATTTCTAAATTAATTTGCATTATAATAAATGTGTATAAAAACTATGCAAAGGAACAATTGGAACACCTAATTCTGGCTGCTTGGTGGAAGTGGAAAAAAAACAATAAATGTGAATAGTTGTAGGTGGAGCTTTGAATCCTTTTGTTTGYCTCTGTGTGTGAGCAAGCATTAAAAATCAGAAAACAAATGGGATGGTCTGCTGAAACACTGCGTTTTGTTGGAGGATAAATGTTGTAAGCTTTTGACAGCAGTTCAAGTATATTATATAATRTTTCTCTAAAAATAGCATGATTTTTTTTTTCTGGTCTGAATTATATTTATTAGTTCAGGTGTATTCTGGGAAAACCAACATCTGTATGTAACAAGCACTTAACGTAAGTTCTTGATTTGTGGAATATCCATCAGTCAGGCTGTCTGAAGCTGGTTGGCTCAGTCAGAAAAATCTGAGACAAAGAATATATTCCTGTGTAGCTAATGCTGGCAAGCAGCATTTGAGGAGAAGCTGGCACTGACTGAGCTTGGTGGCATCTGAAGGTCAAATTTGGATGTATCAAACCTGACTTGGGAGTAACATGTAGATGTAGGTTTCCAGGTCCTGCAGAGTTCAGTCCTCATGCGTGGAGCTGCCCCCAAAACAAAAGGTTACATAACACTGGTTGTACAAATGTCTGGTAATATCACTGTTCTGATGTGTTTGTATATCCTTTGTAGAATAGCAKAAGAAATTACAGTATTAAAGAATAGGGATTTTTGTCTAGAGGAAGYTGTTAGGATGTGACCTGAATATGTCTCAGAAAAAAAAAAGTACATAAAATTTCTCTGCAGCACACCTGTGATTTTTTTTCTTCCTTCCTTTATTGTTCCTAGAGCCCTATTCATGGTGTAAACAAAAAAGCCCTATTCTAAGGTGTAAACGTGAGTGTAGAAATACTAAAAATACCAAATTGCACATCTCAGGCTTTCCYAGTTTTAAATTCAGAGGCGGGTGTCCAAATGCAGCCCTTGAAGTGATGCRGTGATACCTGCTGCTTCTCCCCGTGCTTGCCCCGGATCAGTTACATGCTGAGAGCAGCATCCTTTGGCCACAGGAGTCGAGATTCATTAAATAAGTCATGGCTGCAGGAGTCACCGTGCTGGCCTGGGCTTGTCTCTTGTGAGAAAGAGAGAACAAGCAGAGCTCTTCTTGAGTGCTAAAAAACCCACAGCCTCTCCATCCTTTTAATGAGATGTCAGCCTAGGTAATTTAAAACCAAGTTTTCCTTGGTTTCTGTATTGGAAAATACAGAATGCTGAAGTTTATTTGAATTTTAGAAGGAGAAAGGAGAAGAAATGAGGTCTCTATATTTCTGCCTACAGAAATGATTTGTTTAGTAGCTTGTGGATTCAGAGTGTTTAATATTTGAGGTGCATATTATCTGACCTTTGCAGGGCTTTCCAATTAGGTCAATAGCATCTATTATGTATCCTGTAAAAAATGCTAATATCTGCTGGATATAGATGTCTCAGACTCCAAAATTAATTTCAACGTGGTTTCTTCTGTTCCAAACTCACATTTGAAATATTGCATGCATTTGGGATGTTTCCTGTGCATGAATGCTCAAGGAAGTTCTCCAATATTTTTAATTCCTTRTGGACTTCTCTTCTGGTTTGTGGTTTTACACACTGTATAATTTTGCTTCTTTCTTTATTTCTTTAATGTCTCTAAATGCTTTTACTATTTARCATTACAGGGGGAGAATAAATTGGTCAAGAGCTATGCAGTTGTAGTACAAGTAAATGTTACTAAATATTTCTTGCCGTTTGTATCCTTTTAAACAGATGATTCACAATTATATGGAGCACTTGGAAAGAACCAAACTTCATCAGCTAACAGGGGGTGATCAGCTAGAATCCACAACACACAGTAGAATTAGGTAAGCTATTTATTGCTCTCTCACCCTGAAATGAGAGGAAAAAAAAATCCATTCATTTGTGTTTGCAAGACTTTGTTCTTTAATCCTACAACAACGGTTCGGCTGAATCGGAAAGATTTGTTGTATGATTGGAATGCGGTAAGAGAACAGCGTAGAAATCCGTGGAAAGAGGCTTTTGCTGTTGTGGTGCTAAGCGTTGAGATGTACTCTGTACATTAATTAGCCTTAATTTCAGCTTTTTGGGGCGTTTGCGTTTGGGCAGGCAGGGAAAATGCCAGCGGCTGTCCCGGCTTTGTGCGCGGGGCGCTGGAGCTGCGTGCGCCGTGCCCGCTGCCGCTCGGGGCTGGCCGGGAATAGATTATGCAGATCTGGGGAGCTTTGCAGCCTCTGACCCTGCGTGCAAGGAAGGAGGGAGCGGTGGCAGGAGGGAGCAGCACTCCCGGGCTGGCCGTGCMTCTGCGCTGCTGCTGCATCGATGCTGCGAGGAGCGGCGAGGGGGAGGCGGGCGGTGATGTCATTGCTCTGGAGCTGCTGCAGGAGAGCGGAACGCCGCCGCTGCCGCCGCTGCTGCTGCTGCTGCTGATGGCATTGTTTTTGTGGCGGCGGCCGAATGACAGACTTTGCCCACAAAGATCCCCCCTCGGCCCCTGCGTAGCCTTCTCGGAGCCGGCGTTCCACCATGCCAGCGCAGCGCCATGAATCCGGGCTGCATGCTGCTGTTTGTGTTTGGCTTCGTTGGCGGGGCGGTGGTCATTAACTCGGCCATCCTGGTGTCGCTCTCCGTTCTGCTGCTCGTGCACTTTTCCATCTCCACCGGGGTGCCGGCTCTGACGCAGAACCTGCCGAGGATCCTCAGGTACTCTGACCCACTGAACCCCCGCTCCGGGTGTGCTCTGGCTGCTCCCCTGCTTTCCTCTCTCCTGCTTTGGCAAACAGGGACAGATTCCAGGTGTAAATTACGTATAAATGTCAGGTTTTGCTGTAAATGTGTCTGCATACTCGTATACAATCTATTTTTTTCATTGCCTTTTATTTAAGGTCAGTTCATGCATCTCTTTTCTATASAAAGCTCTTAACATCAGTTTATTGTAACCTGCTGCAAAAGCTGCTTATCCTATAGGTTCCTGTAAATGGCAGGGATAAAGCTCACCTTCAGTGTATTGTCAGGTACTTGGCTGATCTCGTGTAGCATAAATGTATGAAATCTGAGGATTTGTACCATTAAACTGCACCTGTTTYAATCAAAAGGCTTATGTAAGATCAGCTAATTAATGTTAAAACCACAGTAATTAGTYGATCACGTTATTTTCAAAAAATCTGATTATTGGTTGGTGGGGGCAAAAAAAAAATCTTTCATTATTTAAGCATTAGAGCTCTTAAAGCCTATTCACTATTGTTCAGCCAAATGTTATCCTCTCCTCTGTTTCTGTACTTGTATGGCAAGTTGCCAGCTGTCTGTCCCCCCCTCAGGTTATATTCTGTTTGTCCTACGTGCCTGGAGCAGTAGCAGACAGAGATGCATTAGAATATTGTGGCCAAAAGTAGTCTTGACATATTTTAGTGCTGKAATTATGGGTGGAAAACAGCTGGAAAAGTTTTAAAATGCAGTTTTCTRGCCTGAAAACTTGATGTATGTTACCTGTGGTTGTAAATTTAATAGCAAATTTTATTTAAAATGGGATAAAGGCTGGTAATTGGTGTTCTCTGGAAGAGGAATGTGACTTTTTCTTCCTTAGTACTTGGTGCCTGTAGACTGTAGCACACTTTTAACTTGATTTTGTGGGCACAGAAGGGTTGTTCCAAGGTTTAAAGGCAATCAATAGATAAAAGAAATACCAATTTATACCAGTAGCTGATGGAAMACTTGAATGAATATTTAAATGTATAGAAATAAAGTAAATTAAAAGTGCAGCTCTAAAGACTGATGAAGTTAGTAAGGCTAGACTTGTTTGAAAGAGGGGGAAATAATCCAAACCCAGACCAAATAATCCCCAACTCTAAAAACAAACAAAACCAAAACAGAACTTCATATTTAATAACTTGTAAGAATTTTTTTAGTTTTAAACAGATGGTTTAAGAAGTAGATTTTTTTTTTTTTGTTGTAATGTACATTTGCTTCCCTGGAGTATTTAATGGATTTGTGGAGTTTGGGGAATCTATGCCTTTTCCTGCCCCTAGTAATTTGTTTTAGGAGTTACAGGAATTAGAATTCTCCTCCTTAGTTTTTATTCATTTTAAAAAAAAAAAGATAAAAAAATAGGATGAAGGAATCTAATTGTAGAAGAATTGTTTCTATTTTTTAACACTAGTCGGATTTTAGAACTGAGCATCTGGTTGCTTATCCTAAAGGTTCCTGTAAATGCCTCAGTGCCTCACTTCAGAATATTAGTTTAGGCTTTTAAAAGACGTGTTTTCATTCTGCTCACTGTTGTGTTTTCAGACATTTTTTGGGCATTGGGGGATCAGAAGAGGTTCTTTACTTTTTCGGTCAACAAGCAGTGAAATAAATTGAAATTGCTTCAGTCTAATCAGATAATTTCTTTTAATGCAGACACTCATTTCCAAAATTAACCTCTTTTGTAAACTTTATTTACTGTACAGCGTTGCAATGCACCTGACCTCTGTTCCAACACATCAAAATATGTTTATTATAGAATTTCTTTAAAACTAATCATAAAAAAAGCAATGCCAGGTGTGAACTGTTTTTGTACCCATTTCATATTCTCTCTTTTGAGGTTTGCAGAGCAGCTCAGCTTTGTGAAGTGTTCTGCAATAAGGAAATGTGCTGGAACCTCTGCCTAAGGCCAGGCCCCTCACAATGCAGCTTTATCAACCCCTGAGGGGCAGCTTTTCTTCCTCCTTTTTGTTCCTGCACTTCTTATCCAATGGAATGTCTCAGCCCCTCTTTTGACATAATCTCAGCGTCTGAGCCATGTCTTTTGTTCCCCACACCCCTGAGAGTTGTGGGAATTCTAAAGCMAAGCAGGACCTGTTACAATGGTGGGAATCCTTGGAATCCACTGGGGGGTTTCTCATTCCAGCAGTTGGAGATGCTGGACCGTTATCTGACGTTTTGAATTTTGTCACCCGGACTGATTTTGCTTTACTCACTTTGCTGCCTGCTTTGTTGTGCTAAACCACTTCACAATTCATGACCTCACTTGGAATAATATTTCTGAAAGGCCAGGATAGCTCCCATGTGACAATTAGGTGCAAAGACACCTAAAAAATTAGGTTTTGTGACAGGGAGCATCTTTGTACACCTGGGCTGGAAAGGTCCATGCCAGTTAGAGCTGTGTGCTGTTTGAACATTGTGATTTTGCCAATGTAASATTCACCAAAGGGAGTTTACTGATTAATTGGTAAATAAAATCCCYTTTTCACTAACTTTTCTTCAAAGTAAATAAAATTTAAAACATTTCAAAAAATGCTTCCCTTTTGCTTTTCAGCATTCCCTGCCATATTTTTGCATATGATTTCTATGCAGGTATTAGTTCTGCCTAGGTTRTGTTTAATTTGGGAAAGGCCTTGTGAAAGAAAGCACGTGTAGTTGTGACTTGACTTTTTGTAATGCCTAAATGTGAAAACTATGGCATCACTTGTGCACASTTTTATCTTCTGACTCCACTATACTTAAATCTGTACTAATTGATTACAGTCTTTTTTTTCTGCATGACATTGTTCTGCCTGAACAAACACTTTGCTTATCTCAGTTCTAGGCCTGGCTGATACTTTTCCTTTTCAGAGCTGGCCACAGCATCCTCTGAATGGCATTGCACACAATGGTTTTGTCTCTTGCTAGCAGGAAGAATGAATCCTTTTGTTCACTGAGCACACTACTGACCTGGGGATTTTTTGTTTCTTTTGGGGGTTAATACATAAACCTTTGGAATTTCCAAATGCTATTTGCCATAGGGAAGTGAAAAGAGTGAAGAAGTGAAGAGTTGGGATGAAGTAATTTGCTTTACTGGCACAAGCTTTTGTGCAGCTTTAGGGTGAAGTGSAATGTTGAACTGATCTTGGGTAAAACTACACAATTTTTGGCTGAGACATTTGTAACATTGGTAATTCCCTGACCCAGTTCTTTTCTCCTACACAAATCCATGTAATTTATGTGATCTTYAGGAATAAAATACCCAAGGATTTGAGAAGAGTTGCTTGAGGCTTGCTGTTTACAGTTTTGCMAATGCTTCAGTTGATGATTTAGCTGTTTACTGTTGTACAACTTATGTGGTGCTGTGTCTTAGGAGAAAATGGTGCCAAATGGTATTTTTAATAGTGCCTGCTGAAAATGATAATTTAATCTGAAATAAGGATACACTTTTGTATTATACTTCTGTTGGTGCTTCATTTCTGTAAAACTTTTGTTTGCTACAGATTAGCTGCAGTGTAAATCAATAACTGCTATTTAAAGCCGTGGAATTGACTGTTGGCAATCATGTGAAATGAGGAATTATTGGGTGCYGTGGCACCGTCTGGGTGTGCTATGCATTTAATGGAGCAGCGTCTGAACATTTGACCCTGGAATTTCACCACTTGCCTGCTGATTACAAAGAAAAATAAACCGTGTGCCAGCTGAGATGGCTGCTGACCCGTGCCTGTCTTTCCAACAGGAAGGAGCGTCCCATCTCCCTGGGCATCTTCCCGTTACCTGCAGGAGATGCTCTCCTCACGCCCGAGGCTCAGAGGGAGGCGGYGGAAACGCCCGCGGCCGAGCAGTGGAAATTCCCCGAGCTGAGCCAGCCACGCTCCCACACCAGCCTCAAGGTGAGCACGCCTCAACTCCCACAACACATGGTGGGTCCTTGGCAGGATGGGAAAAAAACCAAAAAACCCAAAAGTGAAAGAGAGGAGGGAACCCCCTGAAACATCTCTGTRTAAGCCAAGTGCATTGCTTGCTCCCCTGAGCTTTCACAGAACTTCCTTACTGCAAGAAGCAAAGTTTTTGGGGGCATTTTCCAAATGAGTGATAATACAGGTTAGTTCTCCTCTTATTCTCAACAGTGGGTCTTTTCTTTCTGGCTAAAGACCCTTTTCAAAGGTTCCACCTTGTTTTTCCACACGAGATCTAGAACTAGATAGTGTAACAGTTTAATTAGCTTTATTAATGCTGCTTTAGAAGGAAAGCTTTGGTTGCYACATGGGCAGTGCTCTTCATGCAGCCTCTACTGCCAGGTGTGTGGTGCAGGTAGACCACAGAGCTGAGAATGACCTAACTTTCCTAAATTAGCTTGTGATTATGATTTCCCTTACATGCAACTTGGCTGTAATCCCTGCAATTGTTCTGTGTTCCAACAGCAAGAGGGTGGAATAGRACAATCTGCAGGAGTGGAGGAAACAGGGAGTGGTGTTGGAGTGTGAKGAGTCTGGCAGTTGGGTCTAAGGTGCCCTCACAGCACAGCAGGAGGAGGATCTGCAGGGGGAAGAATCCAGAATGTGTAAATCCTCACAATATGTATTTCTTGATGAGGTTTTTTGGATATACTGTTGTTTCTGGAAAGGCAAACAGCTGAGAGGAGTTTCCCCTTAAGTGAACTTAATAGCTACTTAGCATGGAAATGTTAACTGATAAGAACTAAAGAGCTATTTGGAAGTAATAGGAACCCATTTCTTTTCCTAGAGGTCATATGGAAATAATGGGAAGAGTTTGGTGTGGTTATAATTAACACTTAAGTGACAGTATGAATTTGGTTCTAAAAATTTGTCACTTAAAAATGGTGCTAGCYAGGAGGTTGGATCTTGAATTTATCMAATTCCCTTTGTCTTATGCTAATTAACAACAGTAAATTGGCAGGTTTTAGGAAAGCTGACTGAAATACAACTTATGTACAATAAATACAAGTTATGWTTAAGAGTAGGTGGAAAGGGAAGCTTCTGATTCCATCCTTTYCCCTCAGAAAATTGTAATGGCTACTCCATATCATCAAAATAGGCTTCTTGGTGTATTTCTTCTAAAAGTAATGCTCTGCTAAAATGAGAATTTACAAAATAGCTCAGACTGTAGTTCTTCAAATCTGTTTATTCAGAATAAATTCCTTGGGTCCAAAGCAACATCTTTACTTTGTAGCTGAGAATGTAGTGAATTCTGAAGTGAACCTGTTGGAATAACATGCTACATTGAAGTCAAAACCAGCATTTGAAAGTTTTGTCTCTAATTTTTCTCCCCTAAATACTTTTAAYATCCAGTACAAGGCACAGACAGGATTCTGCTGCTCTGTAACTTCTGTTTTCCATTGATGCCTGAACATTTCAGTAATGGTCAGTGTTTCCTCCAAAAGTATCACAAAGAGGAGGTGGCAGAGATTAAAAAATCTGGGTGTTCTGTACTTGTGCAGTAGTGACATTGCTGGATATCATTGTAAGGGGACAGACAATTATGTACCAGTCATTCTTTTCTGCTTATTTCTGTACAGCATTGCAGATGAGTTACTCCTCCAAATTTTATTACTGAATTTTTAAACTATATTTTCTTTTTTTTCAGGAACATGACCAAAAAAGTCAAATTTTGCTAGGTCAACACAGCACTGACTTTCAAATGTTTAGGCTGTGAGATATTTTGATTAATTCAGTGTCACTTAATGAAATTGCTTTTCATTTTCTTTAGTTCTAGAACAAACATTCATAATAGTTTAATCTGTGTAGCTCCAAGAGCAAGCTAAGAAAATACTGTAGACAATAAAGGCAGAAATATAAAATAGATGGGATGATTTGAAATTCCTTTAGGGAAAGGACCATTCTATTCACTGCCTTTTCTTGTGCTATCAAGCAATTTTTCTTGAGCTCTGTGTGTGAAAGTCAGCGATCAGTTTGTGCTGCATCAGTTAGTGGATGCTGTTGGAATACAAAGATGTAGGAATGTCTGAGCAGAGCCAGCAGCTCTGCTGAGGTTTTATTCCTCATTTATGTGAGCTCTGGGTGCCCTTGGTAAGGAGCACCAACTTCCTCCCTTCTGTATCTGCTCGCTCAAGTATGAACCATTAGACAGAGCCTCAGCTTCCCCCATTCAGAAGGCAATTGGGTAAATTGCAGAGTTTTTTTGTTTTTTTTTAATTCCTTCAGAGGTGTCTGTATTTCTGACTACTTTTGACAGAAAATCAAATATTAATAATTGGTTGTTCTGCATTTTACTATGAAACAATGAGAGCTGTCAGTAATTGATAGGCAAGTCTTGAAAGGGCTGAATTTTGTTTCTAGTGCTTGCAAATTCTATGTGGGGATGTTGCTGTAGGATGCAAGTTTTACATCAATGTTGATGTACACAAATATGTGGGGTTTTTTTTCCCTGTCCCCACACAAATAAAAATCTTACCTTAGTAAGTTCCAAAAGTAGGAATCTAAAAGTTACAATTCTTAGTAATTTTATGCTAAGTGCAAATGAGAGAGTGTGTGTCTCCATGCAGGTCTCTTATGTGTGTTGGTTTTTTTTTAAATAATCTTAAAATTCAGATTCACTCCCTTCTCAAAAAGGGATGCTGGCAAAGCAATTAATTTGTGCTTTGCAAAATCTAAACTTGTTTGATTCTTGACAAGTTCAGCTTTCCTGTATTAACAGATCTATTCTCTTGAAATGTCACAGACTTGTCCAGGAGCTTTGCTTTCWGCTCTTGATTCCCAAACAAATCCTACAAGAACTTTTGATAAAAACTTACCTTCCTGCCTTCATTTTGCACGCAGCAGCCTCAAGTTTCATATTTATTTTCCCCAACAAGATTCCTCCAATGGTGTGTTGGCCAGAACAGACAAACTTGTTTTCCTCTCTGCTGAGAGCTGTTGTTTACTGTCATGTGCTGCTTAAGTCATAGATCAGGCATCTGCTGTGGGTCTGGGCATGAATGAGGGGCAAAATGTGAATGAAGGAGAGGAGAGAAGGCCCAGGAAGGGCTGTTGGTATGTCCAGGTAGTGGCTTCTGGTTGTGCCACACACAGTCCATCCTGTCCTCCCACCCAGTGCCTGGTGCAGCTCTGAGTGATGGTCCYAATCTGGAGTCCAGCAGCTGGATTAATTCCGTAATTAATGCCATATTTGAGGGTCTTGACCCAGTGTCACTGTCAATTGTTGCCAGGARTCAGCTTCTCAGGAGGAGCAGTTTGCGGTGCTCCATCATGGGTCTGAAATTTAACTGGACAAGCAGTGACTGCAGTTCCRTGTCTCGTTCCCAGGGTCAGCCAGGGCTCACAGCTCAGACTGGAAAGCCCATAAAAACTGAGTGAAGTGCTTGAAAATATCCCTGGAGGTGTTCAAAGCTGGGTTGGACAGGGCTCTGAGCARCCTGGTGTAGTGCAAGGTGTCCCTGCCCATGGCAGGGATTGAAACAAAATGATCTTTAAGGTCCCTCCCAACCCAAATCATTCTGTGATGATGATTTTATTAAATTCTACACATTTATATCAGTTAAATCCATGTTTGCATCAGTGCTTCAATGTCTGCTTTTTAAGGTCCCATGTACTTTTTGAACAATTGATTTTGTAACAGCTTTGGGAAGATTCAGAAGTCCATTGTGCAGCTAGAAGGACTCTTAGAATGAGAGTGCTGCTTGTTGTCTGGAAGACTTAACAGAAAAGCACCCTGAAGTTGTGACTAAAATTATCAGCTGAGATCAAACATTACTGTTAAAAATAAAGGCAATTTTATGTAGCTATGACTGCCTTAACAAGAGTGATACAGCCATAGGCTAAAGATGGCTTAAAATGTTCTTTTTATTGCTGTTTCTTTTCATTTGCATGATTTTCAGTAAAATACAGTGATTTTGCTGTCTGTTCTTTAGTTTATATTCCCAGCTCTYCTAATAACACTTTAATTCATGTTCATTTTTTACTGGTAATTRTGCAATTTTAGGATGAGCTGTCTGATGTTAGCCAAGCAGGCTCCAAATGTACTACTCCAGCATCCACAGCTGCTTCAGATGTTCCTGTGCTGCCTGCTGAAACCCCTCAAAAGGAAAATGCTGAAGGGCTTGCAAAGGACACAGAAATGTCAAATGAGAAGCTGGATGAGAGCAAGAATATTGAAGTCCAGGTAGCTCAAGAGACAAGAAATGTGTGCACTGGTGAGCTGCTTTAATTCTTACTCTGGGGTTACTGTGGACCTCATATTTTGTCASTTATTAATTATCTTGCTGTGCCACAAATAAGATTCATTTAGGTTTATTACTCTGTATTTTGAGGCATTCAGAATATTGGTCAGAGATAAGTCTGTTGTTAATTGGTGGCTTTAGTTCTTTATTCTTTAGAATCAGAATTATTTATGACATTTCCTTTCAGTAAAAAAGGCACAAAGTGTCATGAAGTTACCTTGGTTTTAAATATAGAAATAGTAGGAAATAACTGCTGTGAGATGATGTGTTAAATTCAGGATAAAGCTAGAAATTCCAGTGTCTGCACTAGAGTAGCAAAATCTCTGTGTGTTTTCATTTAATTACCTTGATAAGTCTTTGAACAGAAGTATCCTAAGCTGGTGATTGATTAATGGCTCCTACATATAGTTAATATGTCATGATGATTTTGTTTATGGACATACACCGCTTGCTTTGCCCCAGGGGGAAATGAAAATGAAGAAAAATCTGAAGTTCAGGCAATCATTGAGTCAACTCCAGAGTTGGATATGGATAAAGATCTCAGTGGATATAAAGGTTCCAGGTAAGTTTTGTGTTGTGATTTAGGAAAAAGACAATTTTTAGGAGATGATTTTAAAATACTGTGTACAGGAATTTTCCTTTTTCCTGTCTTTGTTTCATTCTTGTGATGAGATGGGTAAAAGGACCTGTGTATAGTGAATTTTAAGGGTGTAAGTGTTTTGTGTGAAAGGAGCCCGCTCTCCGACCAGAGGAATATTTTGACCTCTTACAAWTCAGTTCTCTTGCRTTCTTGTTATATTAAATGACTTCCAGTTTAGCTGAGCTGTCTGTTCTTCAGGCATTTGGGCTGACTAAGTCCTGACATGACTGAATTTCTATAGGCCAAAACTTGATATGCTTTAATGCATTAAAATCCTGTCCAGCTCAATATCTGCAACTGCCTCAAGTTTGATATTTGGATGGGAAAGCAGTGTTTGAAAATAGAATCTAGAACTTTTAAAAGCTGAAAACTTCTGGGGTTAGTCTGGGGTAGCAAATGAACTACTGGTAAAAAAATGCAGAGCAAACTTTTCTTCATTGTGGGAATGCTTTCTTCCTGCTTTTTCATGTCTTGTTTAATTCTCTGCCCAGCACTCCCACCAAAGGCATCGAGAACAAAGCATTTGACCGTAACACAGAGTCACTCTTTGAAGAGCTGTCATCTGCTGGTTCTGGCCTAATTGGAGATGTGGATGAAGGTGCTGATTTACTGGGTAAGRAAGGTTATTTAAAGATGCTGTATACAGCGATTTTCCTTTTTAGGAAGTGCTTAATTATCCTTGCTGGATTTATTGTTAGGCTTCATTTGCATTAAAATTGTTTGAGTAGCATCCTAAGGTAGTCATTGGAATGCAAAACCAGGAGAAAGTGTTTGTTCTTTCCAGCCTTAATCTTTTGGGGCACTTCTTTCACTATCCTCTAATTCATTTCTCCCTGTATGTTCTYTTATATAAGGATTTTTATCTCAAGGAAGGATTTTTGTCTTGAACTAGTTTTAAGTAGTTTTATTCAGGTTATGCCTGATCTGTAGTGGCCTGGCTTCATCACCTCTTTAGGGATTTGAACTTGAAAGAGAATTGCAGCAAAATGCAGTGGTGGTAATTWGAGAATCAAACTGTTAATTGATAGGGGAGGGGAAACCCACATTTCTCTTTCTCCTAAGCAGCTTTCTGCTACTCCTGTGCTGACTGAAAAAAAATGTGAATTTTGGGAATATGAGTTGACCAAGATCAAAAAAGTCATCAGAAAAATAATCTTTCTATAAACAACATAGCAAGGTATTTTTGGCCATCTAATTGTTCAGGGCTCATTTTGAAATAATGAAAGCTGGTACTATGGAATGTGTAAAATGCAGATGCCACTCTTGCTTTAGGAATGGGCTGTGTGCACACAATCAGCAGCTTGTTTGCTTGTGTCCTCTGGCCCAGCAAAAACACAGATTGTTAGAAACTCCTGTGTGCAATCTGGATTTCTGGTTGTTCAGTGTTCCACCAGAAACTTGTTTTACATCAASCAGGTGACATTTCTGCTCACTGGGAGTAATGGGCCCATCTCAGRTCTGAGATGGTTTTTCTTTGTTGTCACTCTGAGCAGTGAGGATCTCCACAACSCTGCTGCAACATACTCCATCCAAAACTCTTGAATGTCACTCCATTGTCACAGGGACAGCTAATCACACATTCTGCATGCCCAAATACAGATACTGGAGAAGTATTAACATGGAGCAACTTAGCTGTGATAAACTGATTAAAGAAATCAAACTATTGTCAGCATGTCCTGACTCCAATGCTTTGTTTTCCATTGGCAAAAAATAACATACTCTTTAATGTAAACTTATTAAAGGTTTGTCAGTGAGTTTTTTACCATTTTCTGTAAATTTGCTACTGGAAAAACCAGTGTGTGCAAACTAAACCCAGGGTTCGACCTGCGTTTGTTATGCAGAATGTGTTGGTCTGAAAATTTTATTTTASAATTGTCATTTCACTTGGAGGACAACCATAGTCCAAAACCTGAAAAGCCACACCTGCATCCAGGATAGTCTGTGTGTTTCAAGCATTTGGATCTGTTCTAAGTGAGCSTTAAACTTCAGTTTGGAGCTGTGTAAAAGTAGTTAATTGGGATTCTCTAATCTGTTTTCTCTTGGGCTGCATACCCAGGGGAATATTCTGGTGTGTATGCTTCTTTTTTCAAAAAATCTTTGAAATCTGTTGCTTCTCCAGTTAGGCGTTCTTGGCTGCTGCTCTCATAAAATACATTCTCTGCATTTTTTTTCCCTGCTTGGTAATTTTTTTTTTTTTGCCGTTGTGCTCTGGCTTTCTGGTTTTTGTTCTTGCATTATAAAAGATCCTGAAATCTGTTGGACATGATCCTACCTACTTTTATCTGTGAATAGTGAAAATGCTTTAAAAAGCAATAGCTACATCAAAAAAATCTCTTGATGGCTGTAGTACAGGGGATTTCTCTAGGTATTGATAAATTAATAATGGCTGATCTAAGTTGCTTCACTGTTAACTGTCATTTACTTTWAATCCAAAACCCAGAGAGGGAAATTTCAAAAGAGGGAACTGTGATTTGCATGTCTGTTTATAGATATCTTTTTGCTTTGTTATCCAARTATCTTTTAAGTCTTCTGCTGTGCCAAAGTTGCTTGGAAGATTTTGTCMCTAAAGTATTTTAAAAGGCCTCCACCATTAAGATACCTCTTTCCTTCRTTATGTTAATCTTAAATTAACATAATTTTTGCTGTTATCAGTGGGGTAATTATTTTGCTGTGCAAGATGCAAAATAATTRTTCTCTCCTGAAATTATCTTTTTTTAAATTCTGAAAATTATATTAGGTATGCAAAAATAGGGCAAGAAATTAATTTCCAATAATTTAAGTCATACTGACATACTTAAATGAAAAGTTAATGTTCACTTTTTACCATAATAGCATATTAATTGGAAACTTCTGAATGGCTTAGCATTTTTTCCAAGTACTGTGCTTCTAAATTATTTCACAGAAAATGAGAGACTTCTGTTAAATTACTGATTTTTTAAAGAGGTTTAACCAATAGAGATGGTAGTGACARTCTTAAATTCTTCAACATCTGTCTTCTGTATAAATCCTGCTTCTAATCGCATCACATCCCACTTCAGATTTTTGGTGGTGGCTTTGTTTTAATTCRCTCTTACTTCCTAAGTCTAAATCTTTTATTGCTCCTCGCTCATACTACACCTCACATGAAATGTTTCTTGTTCTTGTTTTTGCTCTACATGGAATGCATGGGCTTTAAAGACCATAATTTCTTTGGTAAGGTATCATTTGCTCTGGGGAAATCTGCAGGGCTTTCACAATCTGAGCTTTATTCAGCATGTCTCATGTCTAGAACTGATATACTCTGGTATCTAACGTGGTGTAGAAGACAGCTGAGTGTTTTAAACTTAAATTTTGTGGATTAATACTTCTGCAGCATTTGCTGTGTTTGGTTTTTGATGTGGTGGTGTAACATTTTCTAAACATAGAGGATAGGTGGAGGCAGCACTGGCCTGTGTTAGCCAGGRATGCTTTTGGGCTTTAATTGAGGTCAGAAGGGAGAAGGTGGAGGGGAAAGCTAATGGTAGAAGGTAGGTTGGACCTGGAACTTCAGATAGCTCACAGTTCTTCTGACAAGTTGGTCRTACTTAAAATTCAGTTGGCTTTAGGCAATGGCAAAATGTAAGTTTTGTAAAAACATCGATTTTTATTTGCTAATTTAATGTGTTTGTTTCCTTTGGAAAGGAATGGGGCGTGAGGTTGAAAACCTCATTTTGGAAAACACTCAGCTGCTGGAGACAAAGTAAGTGAGAACATTTCTGTAAAAAATACTGACTTTGTGTTATTTATATCTTCAATGTCTTCTTACAGAAACTATACAAATAGTTTTCAGTTCTAAGAGTAGTAGTGATATGAGTATTTTGAATTTGTAGATATATTTAGCTGAGTTGAAATTCTTCTAGAAATTAAGGACCTAAGACACAAAAGCTGCTTTTATCCTTGTARGGCTCCAAGAAATGCAGTGCTGTGTCCTGAGAACTCCCTGTCAGGAACACAGCTGTAAGTGCACAGGCAAATCCATTGGAGCACTCTTGAGGAATTTATTTTAAGCAAACTGATTTATCAGAATTTTTTTCTAATACAGATGTGATTGTATTTGAATGTTGGAGATTTAGGTGGAAATGGTTTGACCTCCAAGAAAAGTGAATCTTTTTACAGTAGCTCTGTGTAAGAAATGTGTAGCTATTCAAAAATAAAACCAGGCTGAAGCYGAAGTGAGAGCCTGATCATCCTTGTGACCATGTGTTTTCAATGTTTGTGTAGAAATGCACTGAATGTAGTGAAGAACGATTTAATAGCAAAGGTGGATGAATTGACCTGTGAGAAGGATGTACTACAAGGTGAATTAGAGGCTGTAAAACAAGCAAAACAAAAGCTTGAAGAGAAAAATAAGGAACTGGAAGAAGAGCTGAGAAAGTGAGTTTAATTCCATGGTTGTAAAAAAGAAAAAGAAACAGCCCTTTYGTGGTATTTAATGCATTTTTCATTTTGTGTTTAGAGCTCGTGCAGAAGCAGAGGAAGCAAGACAGAAAGCTAAAGAGGATGATGATGTAGGTGGATGTGTGTGTGTGTGGTTTTGTGCGTGTCATTCTGTGGGACATGGGAATTCCYTGTGTTTAGTGAGTGCTGCTAAACTTTTCTGCTTTAAAAGCAGTGGTGAAGTTCCTTCATGGGTAGAAAAGACAGAAGACTAAAGAGCACAAGTAAAGTTCAACTGACAGYGATCAGTTTGGTTTCTTTCCTCTCTGCCCACTCTTATCCCACTCCTTTTTGAAGAACTATTTTCATTCCGATTACATTGCATACAAAGAATGGGAGGAGAGGAAGGTAAAACTCAGCTTTACAAACGATTTGGAATCTGGAATTGTGCCTTAGCCTGAGTTACCAGGAGGCAGAGGGTGGCTCTGTGGTGCTGCTCTGTCCCTGCCATGCTGTTTCCCTGTGTGCCCAGAGCGACGTGCCCACGGCGCAGCGGAARCGCTTCACACGCGTGGAGATGGCGCGGGTGCTGATGGAGAGGAACCAGTACAAGGAGAGGCTGATGGAGCTGCARGAGGCTGTGCGATGGACTGAGATGATAAGGTGAAAACTCCTGGAATCTATGATTTTTACCTGCAGAGTGGTCTGAGTGGTAGCTTAATTCCCTTCTGCTCGTTTTCCTCACGCCCATGTGGCGCTTCGATTTTTAAATTATGGGCGTGGAACTTGTCAGAATGGTTCTTGGTGAGCGAAARCCTCATTTTGGAAAACACTCAGTTGCAGGAGACAGTGAGACTGTTTATGTAAAAAATACTGACTTTCTGTCATTTCCCTATATCTTTAGTATCTTCCTACAGAAATGATACAAATGTGCTTTTAGTTCTAAGTGTAGTTGTGCTGTCAGTATTTTGAATTCATAKATGTATTTGGCTGAGTTGGCCATCTTCTAGAAATTAGGTACCTAAGAAGCAAAAGCTGCTTTTAAGCTGCTTTTTKGACTCTTTGTAAGGTTCCAAGAAATGCAGTGCTGTGTCCTCAAGAGATCAGCTCCTTGTCATATGATGTGAAAGACATACATTTTTTTTCATGGGATGCTTTTTTGGAGCAATAACAAAAGTTGGTTATTGTAAATAACGTTAATTTGTTGGGCAGTAAAAATCACTGTATGTGCACATACCTTGTGATGTCAAAATAGGAATAATGTAGTCTTCAGATTGATAATAATCCCTTTGGAGGGACTTTGGATKTCAGGGRAAAACACAGTTTAAAGCTGTGGAASGTTTGTTAAACAGTGGCAAATGATGGTAATTTGGTCTCATTTGCATCCTGAGTATTGAGTTGYTTGGCGAGCATGGTTTATAAACATAAGTGTGCTTCCTCAGGCCTCAGCCCCTGGCCGCAGGTAGCAAAGGCTGTGGTGCTGCCTGCTGGCCACAGAGAGCAGTGACGTGTTTGTCCCCATTGTCCTCCTGCCTGTCAGCCTTTGGGAGGGAAAATGCACATTCTGACAGCCATGGCTTGTTTTTCTATAGCTACTTCTGCTGYAGAAATCCTCTCCTATCTCTGTTATCTGTGGCTTCCGCAACACTCACTTTATCTTTTATTTACTCATGCATTGAAGGATGGGAGGATTTAAACCAAAAAACAATGGTTAATGTCTTAAATAGGGGGCAGAATAATTTAAAACAGTTGGCTGCTTTCTTTGAGCTGTTTTCATTGTGAAGTGTCACACAGATTTGTCTCTTCTGTCTGAAAAACACTTGCCAATTATTTGGGATGCAAAGAAATGTGGATAAAGTTTATTATGCAACTTCAGCTCCTCTAGTGGGAATTTTAATATTTTGCTCTGATCAGTAAAGAAGTAGCAGTGTGAAAAAACAGGCTTTGTTGCTTTCAAGATGTTACCTTTTTTAAAAAAAATAAGAGTTACACACTGTTCCATTCCTTTTCCTTTTTTAGTTGTTGCTTACTCAGTAAACTTGGAATTTATTTCTTGTAGAGCATCAAGAGAAAACCCAGCCATGCAAGAGAAGAAGAGATCAAGCATTTGGCAGTTGTAAGTATAAAAARACAACTCACTGGCAGAAATAACCACCTTAACCAATTAGCTGGCACATTTGTGTATGTTAGCTAATTATTTTTTGGCAGATGAAGATGTCTTAACCCTTCTTCTCTTGTTGCCCAGCATGCCAGCTCGGTAAGACTGGTCTGGAAGACAAAATGTATCGTAAGCTGCAGCACGTAGTGAGTGGCTGTGCACTTTGGGAAGTTAAATGCCAGAGTGCTGGGATTTTTTTTGTAGCTGAATATGCACCAGGATTCTTGTTCTGAACATTTTTTCTGGATTTGTTTTTATAATGAAGAGTGTGGATTGCATTTATTTCAGATTTCCTTTCCCTCTGTGAAGTGCAGCTTAGTGATTGTCACATGCTCATTGCTGTCTTTGAGCTCTTTAACTCTAAACCACTGTTTTTCACCCCAAGATATTTATCAAATAATCCTTTTCATGTTGTGGTTTGCTGATCACTGTTCTATCTTTTTTGCCTAGAAAATAGGGGGGTTTTTAAAGTTCTCTCTGCATGATCTAATATGCTTCATAAAACTTCCAGGTGTGATATTCACATCCTAATCTTCTTGGTTCCCTGTACATGTTAATTCAAAATGAAATTCCCATTACATTTGATAAACAAATGGGATGATAATTCTTTAAGAATTCTTCTCACTGACATGAGTTTTTGTGCTTTGAGAGTGTTGCTGAGTGTGTGGTGGCTGCTGCTATGTTGGGATCCAGTTTCTTACTTTAACTGTCATGAGCAGGCTGGCATATGCTGTGTTTTGCCTGCACAGTCAAATTTGGATGTATCTGACAAATCTTGACTCTTGTCTTTTTTTCTCTTTTTCTAGTTTTAGCAGGCTCTTCAGTTCATCCAGCAATACAGCAAAGAAACCAGAACCTCCTGTCAACGTTAAATATAATGCTCCAACCTCGCACATTACCCCGTCAGTCAAGAAAAGAAGCAGCACCTTATCTCAATTACCCAGTGACAAATCTAAAGCCTTTGAATTCCTCAGTGAAGAGTAAGACATTTTGGKTTTATGCTACTAGATATGCTCTACCAAGTGTTTACTCTTTCRGTCCTCTGAGATTACTAGCATGCTGCTAAGTGGAGTATATGTTCTCTTGAAGTGAGTGTTGATACATTAGAACTCAAGATAGTGCAGATTAAATGTGCAGCAGTGGGTGAATATCCTGAGCACTTGGCTGAAATATTCTACTTGGTGTAAATACCACTGTGTTTCACAAAAGTGTGAAAGGCTCAGGAGGCAGCACTGRGTACACTTTTATATGCTGTAAAATGCTTTAAAATGTTGTAGCTGAGCAGTAACTGTACAAGTACTGAAAGTTCACTTAAGCTAACAAGTATCTGCTTTTTTTTTTCTCTTGTGCTTTGTTTTGGCACTATATCTTTTTGATTTACAATTTTTAAAGCTCCTAGTAGAGCTACATAATCCAAGTTAGTTTCCTTTAAGGATGCTGGCAGCTGGCAGTAGACTTTTGAGTTTTGCCTGTTTCTCGCCAGCCCCTTAGAAACAACCCCCAGGAAACCTGTTGTTTTGAAACCTGGGGATATTCTTGGTAACCCAGTGCTTCCACAGAGGTCTTGATTATCGAGTTTAACAACAATTCCCATTACACAAAGARTCCAAAGAGCATAAATAAGAGGTTCCTCCATGCTGCTTCTTGCCCAGAACTGAAGCCAGTTTAGCCTCGCGCCGGGAGCAGAAGAGGGAGCAGTACCGCCAGGTGAAAGCTCAYGTGCAGAAGGAGGATGGCAGAGTGCAGGCTTTTGGCTGGAGTCTACCTCAGAAGTACAAACAGGTATTGTGCTTTTAAAAGTCATGGTYACAGCTTCGTGTTTTGTCACATCTGAATGGGGTTTGATTTCACAGCTTGTGTTTGAGTGATCCCAGCTTTTCGTCGTTGAACTATGCAGTGAAGAATCTTTCTAAGGAAAACAACAATGCAAAACTCTTAATTGTGTTTAATCAAGTCTGAGCAACTGATTCCGAAGATTGTAAACCTCTTTTAAAGAGTTTTTCCATTTTGTTTGTTTGCTTTTAACCTAGGTGGCAAATGGTGGACAGGGTGAAAATAAGATGAAGAACTTGCCTGTACCTGTTTACCTGAGACCTTTAGATGAGAAGGATACCTCTATGAAGGTAGGATATTTCCAGTGATGACAGAGAGACTYGAGCAACCTATAGCCTGAATATTTTTATTTTAGTCTCAGTTACATTCTTTTTGAAATTATTTCTTCTTAAAACATGTGAAGATGAATTTAAGCCTCAGTAGAAATGTACCTTACTTTAATTGTAATGAATAACTTAAAACGGACTGTRGCTATATAACAATGTTGATATCACTTAGCATATTTAAGAATGGCTGTGTCTCTTTTCTAAGTTTGACATTCAAGTGAAACATTTCTTTTCTCCCAAGCTGTGGTGTGCTGTAGGGGTGAACCTGTCAGGAGGGAAGACACGAGATGGGGGGTCCGTGGTGGGTGCCAGTGTGTTCTACAATGATGTGACTGCTGTGGATGCAGATGGCAACAAGCAGCAAACWGGATCCCAGAGCAGCTTAGATAAACTAGATCAGGAGCTCAAGGTAAGGTCACTGCAAGGCACATCTAATATTTTTTTTTTTTATTTATTTAATAATAAATTTCAGAGGTAGACATCTTTACTGTGTAACTATAGAGTAATCAAGTATTTTCTAATTGGCTTATAAGAAACAAATGAATTTTTCTTGGGTAGTCATCAACCCAGGATATTTGGGTTATTGAATCCAACTACAAAAATGCTTTGATTCTTCCCTTACTGGCACATCTGAGGAGCAAATCAATTTTATATCTAAATGATGTACTGCTTACACTAGTGCTGCCTCCTTTAAAACCCATTTGTGCCAGAGCTGTTAATGTTCTAACTGCCATGAATGGAATTYATATTAAGGGCATCAAAACTAAGGTTTTGTTTTGAAGTGCTTTGGAATATCATGTTATCCTGTGGTGATACTGAGTGTGGCAGCTGGCATGTCAATAATGTTTTTCTTTTATACTGGTCTACCTGTATAATTATGCAGTATAATTATAATATTTTCTATGCTTTTGATAGAAGTGTGAAATATGAGGGAGTTTTATATTTCAAATACATGAGAACAAGTAATTACATATAATTTTACATTGGCACTGAAATATTTTACTTCCTGCATATTTATGTATTTCTGTAGGTGAAAATGTAAGACTATAAAAGATCAAAGGTAATAATTTTATTCTTGTCCCTCTTTCTCTTGTTCACTTTTGCCTTTATTCTCCTTCAGGATCAGCAGAAGGAACTGAAACATCAGGAGGAATTATCCAGTTTAGTTTGGATCTGTACTAGYACACATTCTGCTACAAAAGTTATCATTATTGATGCAAATCAACCAGGAAATATTCTGGACAGTTTCATTGTTTGCAATTCYCATGTGCTTTGTATTGCCAGCGTGCCAGGTAAACACTTGGGCTGTTTCAGCTCCTGTTTTTTTTGTTTCTATTCAGCTTTTCTTATGCAATGAAAACCCACAGATGTGTTACTCGGTATGATGAAATGTTTCTGTCACACAGCAATGCAAAAGTGTTTAATTGTATGAAAACTGTGGCATTTCTACCCTACTGCTCCACTCTTTAGTTGCCTCCTGACCTAAATTAGCTGAAAATCAGAGAGCTGTCAGCAGCCAAGGGRAGCTGTTTTGTTTGATGTTTTATAAATTGTGCAATGGTGTCAGTATTCATGGAACTGTGAGCCTCACAGAAAGAACAGCTTGTTGGTTGTTTTTTTGACTTCTTCAGTTCTTGAAGAGAAGCAGCAAGTCTTGGAGCTTCCTGCAGAGGGAATCCTTGCTGCATTTGAGTGTATTTTAAGTCTTTAAAGTATGAGAGATTTGAACGTGAGGAAAACAGGTTTTCTTCCAGAACAAAGGATGTATTGCAGCTAMATTCTTCATGAAGATGTAGATGGGTGTCCCTGCATACATGCACTTTTATGAAATCCKATTTTAGAGGAAAATTAATTAAAATAGCAATAAGCCTTTTGTGAAACTGCAGATTGAAATACAGTGAATGACATTCAGTTGTGCAGCATATGCAGATCTTGCTTTTGTTTTGTGAGCTTTGTGACAGCATCTTCCCCATTTGCTGATSACCTTAAAATAACCTTGTAGACAGGGTTTATCTGCATGTTTAACCTCAGCTGCTGGAGAGCTCATTCACTTTGAAGCTTTGTTATTAAAGAAGTGATTCAGCTTTATCTCTTTGAAAAACACCGAGTGATAGGACTCGAGGGAATGGCCTGGAGCTGTGTCAGGGGAGGTTGAAATTGGATATCAGGAAAAGATTTTCCCCTCRGAGGGTTGTGGGGCACTGAATGAGCTCCCCAGGGAATGGGCACAGCCCCAGGCTGCCAGAGCTCCAGGAGCATTTGGCCAACACTCTAAGGCACAGGGTGGGATTGCTGGATGTCTGTGCAGGGCCAGGGGATGGGCTGGATCCTTGTAAATCCCTTCCAGCTCAGGCTGTTCTGTGATTCTGAGYTCCATCTCTTTCAGGGGCGAGGGAAACAGATTACCCTGCAGGAGAAGAAGGGTCCCAAGAAGCAGATTCCAGCCAAGTGGACAAGTCCTCTCTGTGTGGCAGCATGACCAGCAACAGCTCAGCAGAGACTGACAGCCTGCTGGGGGGCATCACCGTGGTGGGCTGCACTGCTGAGGGGGTTCCAGGAGCTCCTGGGGCTCAGGACACCAATGGGGCCTCACCTGTGGCAGAGAAACAGTCAGGTGTGTGATACACAGGGCAGGGGTGTGATACACAGGGCAGGGGTGTGCTGCACACTGCACGTGTGTCAGGGGTGAACAAACACCTCGAGGTGAACCTGCAAATGAGTGCTGCTGGTACTGAGTGTAACAAGTGTGAGCCATGATGACAGAAACACTTAATCTGTAAATTGTAGCTGAAAACTCAATGGAGGTGACATGAAATGGGAATAGACAGCTGCTTCTTGCAGGTACTTTAGAGAGAATTCTTGTGCCTGCTCTAAAGAGATTTGAAGTGAMTATTTGAAATGCAGACCTTGCCAAAGAGTGACTAGAATAAATGCCTTGGGTTTTGTCAAGTCTTCATAGAGATTTAAGTGAAACTGATTATTTTTAGACACTCTTTCTATTTTCTGTCATATGACTTGAAGAGCTGTGTGGTGAGATGATTGTCAGTGGATATGTAGTGGTTGCTCTTGTTCACTGCTGTCCTAATTAATCACTTCAAGGGCAATCTGAGCCTTCAGTCACTGGGTTGGTRCTTAAAATGATTGGACATTGTTTTGTACAGTTTTGGACATTTCTGTGTTTTGGGTTTTTTTAGATAAAAAAAATCTAGATTGTAACTATCTAGCTATTACTACTATTCAAAGTATCAAGTTCTGGCTGTTTTAAACAATAGCAAGTCCTATGGCAGTTGTKAAMAGGTTATTTTGAWTTTTTTTTCTTTYATAGATATTGCAACGGAAAGTAATTCAGTAGATGAGAACATTCCAACAGCAGAGGAGGCAACAGAAGCAACAGAAGTCAATGCAGGGACAGGAGAAGATGCAGCTGATATTGCACAAACTGGAGTCTACACAGAGCATGTCTTCACAGATCCCTTGGGAGTGCAGCATACAGCAGAGGCATCCCCGGTGTACCAGCCTAAGTACATAGACTCWGTCCTCTTACCTCTTAAAATGTATTTAAAGAGAGAAATAGCATGTTTGTAGGAACACAGCATGGCGATAAAATCACTTCTTTTCTTGTTAAGTGTGTTGAGGTTAATTAAGTAGTCTTTGTACAAGACTCTTGGTGACTTTTATGCTTTGTGACTCTTTTCTGCAATTCCCCAGACACACCAGCAATACTGACAGGCTTGGATGGAACCTAATTTTCCTTGTAAAAGTAAATGTCCAYTTCAAGAAAGTCATTGTTATTGGGGTTTTCATCTGTATTGCACTTTTATGCGTGGTTGCTGTGTTTTTAAACACTTAATGTGCTTCAACAGCCAGTGTAGGAACTCTCAGCACTGAATTAAATACCTGGGTTGTAGCCTGAGTAATCTGTGCACTCCATTAAATGTATATTAACTGGTGTTTTTTTTTTTCTAGTACTGAGTCAGAGTTATATAAAGATGTTGCAGTTCTGCCCAATGAGCAAGATCTAGTGAGAGAAGAAGCACAGAAAATGAGTAGCCTTTTACCCACCATGTGGCTTGGAGCACAGAATGGCTGGTAAGGAAGTGCTAATCTTGYTACATTTATTTGTAATAATTACTTTCAACTTGCTCCTTGTGCCTGCAGGCCTGATAACTGTCTCMAGTCAAGATTAAGTGCAGGAAGATCTCAAGAGAGCCAAAACCTTGGATGCTTTGCTGCATTTTTAGGCMGTATAGAATTCAAAGGAAGTATTGTAGGTGATTAGCAAACCCTTTTTTGTTGGATAATGCTTCATCTGCAGAAAAGTTCTGGGGATTTTTTTATAGTCAAAGAAATTGTTATGGTCTGATAATTCCATAACTTTCAATATTTTAATGTGCTAGGGAAATACATTGTACTTTTTAATRCAGATGGATCTGCAAAGGARTTTKTWMAG